ACATTGATTGATTTGTGAATGTTGAACCACCCTTGCATCCTGGGGATAAATCCCACTTGGTCGTGGTGGATGATCCTTTTAATGTATTGTTGGATCCTATTAGCTAGGATTTTGTTGAGGATTTTGGAATCCATATTCATCAGGGATATCGGTCTGAAATTCTCCTTTTTGATGGGGTCTTTGCCTGGGTTTGGGGATTAAGGTAATGCTGGCCTCATAGAATGAGTTTGGAAGTTTTCCTTCTGTTTCTATTTTTTGAAACAGCTTCAGGAGAATAGGTATTATTTCTTCTTTGAATGTTTGGTAGAATTCCCCAGGGAATCCATCAGGCCCTGGACTCTTGTGTTTTGGGAGGTTTTTGATCACTGCTTCAATCTCGTTACTAGTTATTGCCCTATTCAGGTTGTCAATTTCTTCCTGTTTCAGTCTTGGCAGCTTGTAGGTTTCCAGGAAGGCCTCCATTTCATCCAGATTGCTCAGTTTATTGGCATATGGTTGTTGATAATAATTTCTAATAATTGTTTCTATTTCCTTGGTGTTAGTCGTGATATCTCCCCTTTCATTCATAATTTTATTAATTTGGGTTCTTTCTCTTTTCTTTTGGATAAGTCTGGCCAGTGGTTTATCGATCTTATTAATTCTTTCAAAGAACCAACTTCTAGTTTTGTTGATCTGATCTACTGTGTTTCTGGTTTCCAATTCATTGATCTCTGCTTTAATTTTTATTATTTCTCTTCTAATGCGTGGCTTAGGCATCATTTGTTGCTTTTTCTCTAGTTCTTTAAGGTGTAGAGTTAGTTGGTGAATTCGGGATTTTTCTGTTTTTTTGAGTGAGGCTTGGATGGCTATGTATTTCCCCCTTAGGACCGCCTTTGCAGTATCCCATAGGTTTTGGACCGATGTGTTTTCCTTCTCATTGATTTCCATGAATTGTTTAAGTTCTTCTTTGATTTCCTGGTTGACCCAAACATTCTTGAGCAGAGTGGTCTTTAGCTTCCAAGTGTTTGAATTTCTGCCAAATTTTTTCTTGTGATTGAGTTCCAGTTTTAAAGCACTGTGGTCTGAGAATATGCACGGAATAATCTCAACCTTTGGATATCGGTTGAGACCTGTTTTGTGACCCAGTATGTGGTCTATTCTGGAGAAAGTTCCATGTGCGCTCGAGAAGAATGAGTATTCTGTTGTTTTAGGGTGGAATGTTCTGTAAATATCTGTGAGTTCCATCTGATCCAGTGTATCATTCAAAGCTCTTGTTTCCTTGTTGATTTTCTGCTTAGATGATCTGTGCATTGCTGAGAGTGGAGTATTGAGGTCTCCTACAATTAACGTATTGTTATCAATATGACTCTGTTTTGGTTAACAGTTGGCTTATGTACATGGCTGCTTCCATGTTGGGGGCGTAGATATTTACAGTTGTTAGATCTGCTTGTTGGATAGACCCATTAAGAATGACATAGTGTCCTTTTGTATCTCTAATTACAGACTTTAGTTTAAAATCTAATTTGTCTGATACAAGAATTGCTACCCCAACTTTCTTTTGAGGTCCACTGGCATGGAAGATGGATCTCCATCCCTTCACTTTCAGTCTGGATGTATCTTTAGGTTCAAAATGAGTCTCTTGTAGGCAGCATATGGATGGGTCCTGTCTTTTTATCCAGTCTGCAACCCTGTGCCGTTTTATGGGAACATTTAGGCCATTCACGTTGAGAGTGATTATTGAAAGATATGAATTAATTGTCATCATGTTGCCTGTGAAGATGTTGTTTTTATAGATTGTCTTTAAGTTTCTGTTGTATATCACTCTTGGGGTCTTTCTCCTTTTATAGAACGCCCCCTAATATTTCTTAAAGGGCCGGCTTAGTGGTCACATATTCTTTCAGTTTCTGCCGGTCGTGGAAGCTCTGCATCTCTCTATCCATTCTAAATGACAGCCTTGCCGGATAAAGTATTCTTGGCTGCATGTTCTTCTCATTTAGTACCCTGAATATGTCTTGCCAGGCCTTTCTGGCTTGTCAGGTGTCTGTGGATAGGTCTGATGTTATTCTGATGTGCCTCCCTCTGTACGTAAGGAATCTCTTCCCCCTAACTGCCCTTAAGATGGTTTCCTTGGTTCTAAGATTTGCAAGTTTTACTATTACATGCGGGGTGTTGGCCTGTTTTCCTTGATCTTGGGAGGGGTCCTCTCTGCCTCTAGGACGTGAATGTTTGTTTCATTCCCCAGATTAGGGAAGTTCTCAGCTACGATTTGCTCAAATACATCTTCTAGTCCTCTCTCTCTCCACTCCCTCTGGGATTCCAATTATGCTGACATTGGAACGCTTCATGGTGTCACTTTATTTCTCTGATTCTATTTTCATGGATTCTGAGTTGTTTTTCCCTGGCCTCCTCTTTTCCCTTTTTACCTATTATATTGTCTTCTAGGTTGCTTATTCGTTCTTCTGCCTCAGTTACCCTAGCTGTTAGATTATTTAGATTGGATTGGATCTCATTGATAGCATTTTTAAGTTCTGCCAATTCAGCTTCCATTTCTGCCCTTAGAGACTCTATGTTGCCATTAGTTGATTTCTCCATTCTAGCCATTGTCTTCACAATTGCTAGCCTGAATTCCATCTCCGACATCTTGGTATATCTGCATCCAATTGTAAATCTGCAGCATAGGTCATAATCTCTGAGTCCTTTCTATTTTGGGGGCTCCTCCTCCTAGTCATTCTGTTGATGGGTGTTTGAGGGACTGTATAGAGTCCGAATATTGACCAGAACCCAAGCAAGATGCACCTGTTTTCTTGGGACCTTAGGGTTGCTTGCCTCTTGTTTTCGCACCCTGTCTTCTGGGGGAGGGGCCTGCCGCGCTGTTACTCAGGCAACCCTGTTTGGGCGGAGTTGCCCTGCCCCCCTGTGGCGGGGGATGGGCTCAGCGGGAATCAGTTTTTGGGGCTTTTGTTCTCTGGTGGCTTTCCCTGGCGGCTTTCCGCATCTTTTCCGAGAGTCAGAGCAGAAGAGACTGTTTCCAGCCCTCTGCCTCAGAGCAGAGAGACAGCAATCTGTTCTTCAGTGAGCTCTCCAGGCCACACCATCTTCGTTTCTGTCTGTGCTGCTATAAACTGCAGCGGCCTGGGATGTGTGCCCTTCCGCAGCGCCCCCAGTCCTGCCTCCAGGTCGGAGCACTCTCTGCCCTTTGTGCTTCTAAAACCGCCAGCCGCTCCCAGTTCGCACTCGGGACCCCTCCGCTCCGGGTTTCCACCTGGGGGCTGCCCTAAAGTCCTTTCCCCGCTGCTGCCAGTCTGCGCATCTGTGCCCGGTCCCCAGCGCTCCAGGCTGTCGCTCACCGGAGGTGTAGGATCCCCACGGCCAGGCTCCCTCCCGCTGCCGTTTATCGTCCGATATCTGCCCGCGGAATCACGGCTTCCCGCTTCGTACCTCGAAACCAACAGCCTGCGATATTCTGTTTGTAGAGATCCAGATCTTCTTATATCTCAGGCTGATTTCGTGGGTGCTCAGGGTGGTCTGGTAGATACCCAGCTCAGTTCTGGGGACCAGTTGAAATAGGGTCGCCTACTCCTCCGCCATCTTTCCTAGTCTCCCGGTTTCTCTTTAATGAAATTAAGAGCGTGCAAATGGATTCATTTTTGGTCAAAGTTTATTAAAGGTTTTATTTTTTTTTAAAGATTTTATTTATTTATTTGATAGAGCAAGAGAGCACAAGCAGGGGGAAGAGTAGAGGGAGAGGGAGAAGCAGGCTCCCCGCCAAGCAGGGAGCCCGATGTAGGGCTCGATCCCAGGACCCTGGGATCATGACCTGAGCTGAAGGCAGACGCTTAACCATCTGAGCCACCCAGGCGCCCCAAAGTTTATTAAAGGTTTTAAATTATTAAAGAGCTAATGATCTAACATGATTTCACCTATGTAGTTATGAGCTATTGGTAGATGTGTGCTAAGAAATATGTAAATGATATTGGAGAACTTAAATATATGTACTTTGTACACATCTGTAGTCTCCACTCAGTTAATATTCCTGTCCGGCTTCAGCTTTTGTTTTCTTTCTCTTAATTACCTTTCTCAAGAATTTTTGCTCAATCAGTGAGAATTCAGTAATCAATTACAATCTCTTTTTTTGCTCAAAGTATCCTTCAGTATTTCAAAGAATCCCCCAAGGGGGCATTTTACATTTCTAGGGAGCATTGAAGAATAGGGTAAATCATGTTATGGAGATCTTTCAAATCCTAAAACAGAGAATTTAAAGCTATACAAATTGGTTTGGGCAATGGCATCATAGTTCTTGTCATGTGAATATAAATATCATACATTTTTCTTCTGATTCTTTAGACTAGTTTAGGTTTCTTCAGTATCTTCTTTAATAAGACATTATAGCACACAACTGAGTCTCCAGCATGTCAGTTAAACATGGGGACGTAGATCCATAAGAAGTAGAATGGAATTTAAATTTAAATATAATCTTAACTTCATCCCTTGTGGCAACTAATGGAAATACGGAATACAAAAGGGCAATTCTCTCTCAGTGTATTTTATCAAGTCTTTGTAAAAGTTTTATAATGGAATTTCCTGTGATATGTTAAAGAATCTTCAAATTAAATAATGAGGAAGCTTAAGAATTATTGCTTTCCCCTTATAGCAAATTTAACTCAAGCAGAATAAAAAGGGATTGTACTAATAATCCTCACATGAAGTGTGAGAATTAAGGTCTTACGCAAGGGCCAAGGCAGCTCTTCTCCCATCACTGAGATACAAAGTTAAATATGGTGTCTTCAGCTGTTTGGAAAAAAAGGGTTAAATACGAGAACAAAACGCTTTTATTCTGAATTACAGTTGGTAAAACAAATGAAAAAAAATGAACCCAAAACTTGTGAATGGTTTTAAAAATGATTTGTTACGAATAATTTGTTTCTGAAACATTGGTGTGCCTTCACTGAAAATGGAAAGTAGAGAGTGCCAGTTTAATCATGATTTATTTTATTCTTTTTTTGGTTTTATTTGTGAAACAGGCTGCACAGCAGGCATCTTCCTCTTCACCCAAATCCTGTTCTTCCTCTTCCTCGGGAAGTACAATAAAGACACACAGCAGTTTGGCCTCCTTATCTAGAGAGAGACAGTCCTGGATCGACATGGTGAATAGTTCCACCGGTGCTGACGTTGAGGGACAGTCTATAACATTTGCTGTGCATGTTCACTCACCTGCACCCTCGGAGGCAAACAGTTGCAGGGCTCTGGACAACAGCTTTGCCACATCAGAAAGTGGATTTTTGAACTCTCTGTCTAGTGATGACACTTCTTCACTGAATAGCAACCTGGACCATCTTATTGTCCCAGACAAGCCCACTGGATCAAAGATGGCGGACAGAGGTAAACCAAGAAGTTATTTATTCTTTTCTAGAGAATGAATATTTGTGTATGGATATAGAACTCTAATTTGTAAAGAGAATGTTGAAAGGCATGGATGATGATTCAATAATTAAACAGTCAGGTGGGGCTAAGCCCAAGGGCTGCTTCTGTAGGGGAGTCTGTATGTGGAAGACTCCAGCTTCAAGACCATTAATTACCCCTGTAAGTGTCACTGGCCACATGCTTATAGTGATGAGACATGTGATTTTCCACCGATCTGAGGAAAAGCTTGACTCCTTTTTGGTCCCATGTCCTATGTCCTGGAGCTTGTGGTGATTAGATCAAGGTTTTATAGATTGATATCTTGTGGTTCCAAACAAACGGAGAGCAACCACCTTCCTTGGGCCACAACCACAGAAAAGGTCTGGCTCCTCGTTAGTTGGCTCCTGAAGGTGTCTGTGGTTAACAGGGAGACAGACATTTTGCATGCACTTTGGAAGGCAGCACTAGAACTTTTAAACACAAAGGAAGCAGTGTATGCTTTTGAAAAAAACAACAACAAAATATTTTAAATCTTAGCAAAGGAAACAGTTAATGGAATATAGAAATTAATAATGTGAACTTTCTTAATAGTCTGATAATTGGTCTTTGTCTATTGTTCAGACCAACTTCTTTTTTATTATTAGTTTTCAGTCATGATGTGTCTTTTCGGATGGTCTGTACCTTATTTACTCAGCTGTAAAAACAAGCTTACCTGATACAAGATACCAAGCAACAAGAGAATGCTGAGTTTGGTTTATATTTTTTCAGTGTACTTTTGAAAGAAAGTTGACGGGTGAAATTCTCATGATACCTTGCCAGAGTGGCCCTGGGACACAGACGACTTCTGTCCCCTCTCCCCTAGCCTAATCGGAAAGTTTATTTAAGTCCTCAAATTTTCAGATATACCTTATTAATTTAATATTTGGTATCAGGGTAATTTAAGTCAAGGATCACGACTGTAGTCCCAGTTGTGCGTGTGTATACAGTATTTTGAACTATGCAAATTTGAGTGCTCAGGCTGGGAACTCATTCTCTAAGTCACCACGATCGTCACCACTCCTTGTGGCCTTACCTGAAGATGCTTCACACAGTTGAGTTACCTGCCTGGCAACTGATGGCATTTTTGTTTAATACCTCTACTTTACACTTAAAAGAGTGGAGTGAAAAATGTCATTGGTGAAATAACCTATGTCTAGAGGTGAAGGAGGTGGAATAGGGAGGAGAATGGAAACAGCACCAGTGAGGAATACACGGGGTCCCAGGGGGACTCTGATGGGTGGAAAACAGGAGACACGAGCTGGCCTCAGGTTTGAGAGGTGCTGTCACGTAGAAGAAATGTTGGGCGTAATCTCTGTCTCCTTGGAAGTACAAAGCTAATGCAGATGGTGAGGCTAGAAGCACAAGCAAAAAGGAGGTAGTTTTAGATTCAGCATAAGAAACTTCTTTTAACACTGAGAATGGTTCAAAATTGAATGGGTTTCTTGGAAAGTAATGCATGCCTTGTCACTGGAGGTGTTTCTTCATTCTGAGACAGTCATTTTCATTGGGTATTAATTGCATATTGAGCACAATCTTTGTTGTTCTTTAAAAATATTTCATTTATTTATTTATTTTATTTTAGAGTGAAAGAGAGAGACAGAAACAGAGAGCACGAGCAGGGGGAGGGGGAGGGGCAGAGGGAGAGGGAGAGGGAGGACTCGGTGCTGAGCGTGGAGCGCGACCTGGGGCTTGATGCAGGGCTCCATCTCACCACTCTGAGATCATGACCTGAGCCAAAACCAAAGTGGCAGACGCTCAACCTACTGAGCCACCCAGGTGCCCCACAATCTTTGTTCTTATAAAGACACACTGAAGAGAGCCCTTAAGTATCTTGAGCTGGACCGCCTCTATCTTGACACTTGGAAGAGCCTTCCAGATACACGGCTGCTTGAACTAAAGAAAATCATGAAAAGTACCACATCTATTATTTTCCCATAAAAAACTCTTACTTTAATCATTGGGCCATAAGTAGAACTAAAAAGTGTCATGTGCAGCGCGCGCGCGCGCACGCACACACACACACACACACTACCCCATGATGGGGATGGCTTTAAAAACAAAACAGAGAATAAAATTCCATTTGCATTCTTTCCCGAGAAATGACCCTGCAGATGGAGTTTTTCTTTAGGATGAATAAACTGTGAGTCTTGGGAATCTGTATGTACCTCTTGTCCATGTCCACATGTCATTCTGGGGATGCATGAGCTGCAGAGCTGGCTGGGGACCAACGTCTCTTTCAATCTAAGGAAGAAGAAACCTAGTATTTTAAAATTTTGAGTTAAGTGCAGGGTGACCAACAAAATCTCTATGCTTCTTTCAACAGCTTGACATGAAGGTATTCCTCTCAGTAGAAAAGAAGGAAGAGAAAATAAAAGTATTTTTCCCTCACTGATGTGTTGGCAGCTGCCATATGTTACAAAATTTTTGCTGATGATTTTCTCCTGCTGCTGGGGATTTGGTTAAATTCCCAGAAGAGTTAAACCACATAAAGTCATTGCTATGGAAACAGGAACCAGGTCTTTTCTTGTGTTTGCAGTGATTTGCTGTTGAGTAATCAGACTGCATATTATGCATTTTTTTACATGTGTATGTTTGTGTATTGGAGAACAAGGTAGCTTTTCATTTCTGTGACTGCTAAAAATTACTTTTTAGCTGCCAATTAAAAAAAGAAAAGCTCTGATATTCCTGTGTCTGAAATATTGTTCAGGGTGTTTTTATGACAGAGACTGAAGTGTCGACATGGTCCAAGACAGGAGTTAGGATTTTAGGTTAAGTCCCAGTCTCAGGATGCATTTGGTAGAGAAAGAGGCTTTTCTCCTAGAAAAGATTCTTAGAGGTTAATAACTGAGTCCTGAAACAAGTAGGCAGCATGCGTTACAGCCTTCTTTCTATTTCAATAATGAGAGAAATGTTTCGCAGTTATGCAGTTAAAATTGTGATTGCTAGAAGTTTATACTGAATTTAAATAACCTTTTAGACATTTCTTCTCTGCGGCATAAGGTAATAATAAAAAAATGCGGCAGGGTGTTAATTGCATCCCATTGCCTTTCCACGTTGGGAGTTCCAGAGTTCCATAGCTCTCTAGATTCTTCACTGAGTCTTTCCTTAAAGCACAGTGGGAAAAGAGGTGATGGGGATAGTGGAATATTCATCTCAGGTCAATTTTACTCTATACCGTTTCCTTCTTCTGTGAGAGGTTATTTGGTCTGTTACTATGCCTTTGTGATAATGACTCCCGTGTATGTCTCTATTTACATTACGCTGACAATGTGGAGACAGTTTTATTTGTGCTTACTCCATGAATGGAGTGACCATACCCTGGATGCTAGAAAGCTGAAAAACCACTAGTGAGACTAATACTCTATGTAAATAAGCAGTCAAGTACAAGTCCAGTCAGAATCAATGTAGGAATCATGTTGAATAAAAAGAGTTGTTAATGAGGAAATAAGCATACTGGAATATGCATGACATCTTAAGACTGTGACATAAATGAGCCAGATTTTAAGAGTTAGCAAATATTACCAAAAATTGTACATAATCTGAGTACAGACAGGATAGATGCTATATTATTTTAGCTAGCTAATTCAGATGCTGTTGTAGGAATTACGCAGCATGTCTCTTTAGGAAGCAAGCAGATAAAAAAAAAAAGTTGAATACTGAAGTCCATTCAATTTAATCTTGTTTTTTTGAGTACCTAACATGTACTCATGTACTCAGTCCTAACAAGAAGACACAGATGAACCAGATACAGCTTCTGGACTAAAAAATGTTAAAATCTTAATGGGGAGAGTGGGAGGAATAAGACTCATTTAACAAAAGCAAGCAGAGTAAAGTAAGTGCTACAGAAAGATAGAAGGTACTTGAGGTATTTAAAGGCGAGCAGGAGCTCAAAATATGGAAAATCACATCTAAGTAATCTGTGATCCAAGTGGGAGGATCTGCACACAGAGAGGGGAGCCATGGGAAGGAGGGATAGAAAAGAAATTTGAATGATGTTGAATGCTGGGTTAGTTGTTAGTTTATTTCAGTAGGTAATGGATGACCATTTTTAATCAGGGTAGTCATATAATTGATGATATATATATTTTTAAAATTATTGATCATAATTTGTTTTAAAGTCATGAAAGGCAGTAAGAGTCAGGCTGGACAAATACCTGAGATGCTATACTTTAGAAAAATTATGTCGCTCTAGAATGTGGGGTAGAAGCATATAAGGAGACAAAGGAAATCAGAAGAGTTAGGAAACTTTTGTAGTAGCTGGGGTGGCGGTGGATAGAGGAAGCAAAAGAGAGACTGGAGGGCTTCCATAGCACGCCTATCAAGGTGAGGACTGATCTTTGTCTGTGTACCTCTATTACTTAATTTAGTCCCTAGAAGGTTTCCCAGTGATCCTATTTTTTGAACTATAATTTGAGAAGGGATCTCACAATAGAAGTAAATATTTACTATTGGGAAAATCCTAATTGTTGACCTCAGTGGCATTGCTCTCAAGCGTAGATGATCCACTACCTTCTTTATCTGCTCCATACCCAGTGGCTAACAATCCCTAGAAGATGTCATGAAATAATACTGATTAGGTTACCTGCAAATTGGTGCAATGTAACTAGTTCATTTTATTTATGATTATAAGCATCTAAGTTATTTTTTTAGTGAATATTCATTATCTGATGTGATTAAAGAGATTCTTTCCCCAATGACTTGTATTGCCACATCGACAGTATCAAAATTCATATATATAGGCTTATTTCTGCAATCTCTGTAGCCTTTTATTGATGTTTTATCATTTACTTTGTCAGTATAGTAGTTAGATTCTACATTTATAGCATGCTTTATTATTCAGTAGAACATTACTCTCTTTGGCACTATCTTCAGGTAAATTTTTGGATTTGATTTTCAAGTTTAATTTTAAAAATCACATTTGGATTTTGATTAAAATTTTCTTGAATTTGTTTAGATTAATTTGGTGAGAACTGCTATCTTTAAAGCTTTGAGTCATTTCATCTATGAACATGGTATATTTCTCCATTCAGTTCTCATTTTATGATTTTAAGTACAGTTTTCTCCTTACAAATGTAGCATATATCTTACTAAGTTTGTCCTTAGACGTTTTATAATTTTTCTTGCATTTGTGAATGGAATCTTTTAATTCCATTATATTTTATGATTATTATTGCTGATGTGAAAATAGAAGGCCTTTTTTTTTTCACATTTGTCTTATACTAGTCACCCTACCTTATAGTTGGAATTTGTTTTGTTTCTAGATAAGCTATCCTATCTTTATGTAATGGCCATTTTAGCTTGTCCTCTCGAATATTTATGCTTAATTTCTTTTTCTTACTTGTGTGATCAGAATTTGCCTGAAGTTTATTTGCTCTTTTACGCTAAAAAATAGTCTTTGGCATTATTGGTTGCACGTTATTTTTATTATCCAGTTAATAAAATTCTGCTTTATCTTTATGAATTCTTTCATTTTATTTAGAATTATTTTGTTGGACCTTTGCTAGCTCCTTAAATTAATTGCGTAGTTGATTCACTTTCATATCTTTTTCCTAGTAAGTATATACAGGTTCTGCATACCTCTTTGTGTTATGTAGTACTTTCACTGCTGGCCATTTGCAAACAGTAAGGTTTAAGAGTAATTTAACTTTTAATTTCTTCTGCAACCAAACCAAGTTTTAGAAGAATGCTTTTAAATTTCAAAGTGAGTGCTCACTTCAGCAGCACATGCAGTGAAATTGAAACGATACAGAGAAGATTAGCATGGTCCCTGCCCAGGGATAACACACATATTCATGAAGCGTTCCATATTTTTGTTAACTGGAATTAAAATGAAAACTTAAACACACACACAATATTTAAAAATATTTCAAAGTGAATATGTTTTCAGCTGTCTGCATGGGATTCACAAAAGGTCAATGACATAATTTAAGGAACCATGATCTTTACAGAAAAAGATTGTAAGTTTCTTAATTGACAACAGCTATGGCAATCTCTCTTAGCAGTATGGTTACACAAAACTGAAGGTGACTTCCCCTTGTGATCTACAAGTCTTCTCGAGAACAGACTTCTACAGTTTACACTATTTGTTCTAGGAAGATTCCTGTGCAGTTTTTTGAAATGCTTCTATCCTCATGGTCTCAGATTCATTTTTTTTGTCTTTATAATTATATTCCTGGCCCTTTTTGACTATTCTGGAATTGTTTCTCTATTCAGCAAGAGCAAGGAACTGTGAAGATACCAGCACATGTTTGAATTTGCAGCTAGAAAGGACAATTCGAAGGTCAGTTTTCCAGGGAGACCCTTCTCATCAGGATAAGGTCTTAAGCCTTTCAGGTTTATCACTGCACTATCCTTTTGTTGTTAAGTTCTAATTTCTCTCCCTACAATGTTATGCTGTCCTAATTAAAGCCAAAGTAAATAAGGTTCTATCTTCCTCAAACTACACAACTATAGTAAGCAGAAGATTGAAAAATAATTTTTTTAGTAGACTTTTATATTTCTTGAAGCAATTTTAGATTCAGAGCAAAATTGAGAGAAGGTACAGAGATTTCCCATCTGTCTCCATCCCTATACATGCACGGTCTCTTCCATTAGCAACATTCCCTCCACCAGAGTAGGATATTGTTACAACTGATGAACCTACACTGACACATCATTATCAGCCAACGTTCATAGTTTACATTAGTGTTCCCTCTTGGTTGTGTATTCTGTGAGTTTGAACAAATGCATAATGACATGTATCCATCATTATGGTATCAAATCAAGTATTTTCACTGCCATAAAAATCCTCTGTACCCCGCCTGTTCAGCCCGCCCTCCCCCTTACCCCATTGGCAGTCACTTGACCTTTTTACTATGTTCATAGTTTTGCTTTTTCAGAATGTCACATAATGTAAATTGCAAACAAAGGCAGTTTTATTTCTTCCTTCCCAATCTGTATACCTTTTATTTCCTCTTTTTGTTGCATTAACTAGGATTTTCAGTACAGTGTTGAAAAGGAGTGGTGAGAGGTCCTCCTTGCCTTGTTACCGATCTTGGTAGGAAAGCTTCAAGTTAACTCACCATTTATGAAGTTGGCTGTAGGATTTGTAGATCTTTTGCATCAAGTTGAGAAGGTTCTCTCCTCTTCCTGTTTACTGAGAGTTTTTATCATAAATGGGTCATAGATTTTTCAAGTACTTTTTCTGTATCTATTGATAGAATTGTGATTTTTTTCTCTTCTCTAGTCTGTTGATGTGATGGATTACATTAATTAATTTTTGGATATTGAATCAGCCTCACATGCCTGGGATAAATCACACTTGCTTGTGGTATATAATTTTTTTATACATTGTTGGATTCAGTTTGCTAATATTTTGTTGAGGACTTTTATATCTATGTTCATGAGACATGTTGGTCTACAGTTTTCTTTTCTTGTAATGTATTTGGTTTTGGTAGTAGAGCAATTCTGGCCTCATAGAATGAGTGAGGAAGTGTTTCCTCTGCTTCTGTCTTCTGAAAGAAATTGTAGATAATTGGTATAATTTCTTCATTAAATGTTTGATAGAATTCACCAATGAATCCATCTGGGCCTAGTGCTTTCTGTTTTGGAAGGTTATTAATGTTTCAACTTTTTAAATAGAGATAGGCCTTTTCATATTATCTATTTCTTCTCATATTACTTAGGACAGATTGTGTCTTTCAAGGAACTGGTCCATTTCAGCTAGGTTATCAAATAATATTTTTTCATTATCCTTTTGGTGTCCAGTGGGATCTATAGTGATGTCCCCCTTTTTCATTTCTGGTGTTAGTAATTTGTGTCCTCTTTTTTTCTTGACTAGCTAAATAATACATATTTTTACTTTTGGCCTATCTAGATACTTGGAATTTAATAAGTATAATTTACTTACTGAATTCTTAATAATCTGATTCCAAAATTAGCTCATTGTGCCTATTTGATAGAAGGATAGGTGAAGGGGATAATAATGAGATAAAGAGTGAACATTTTGACCAAATAATGAACGTTTAGCAAATATTTATTGAGAATCTACTATCTCCCTGGCACATTTGGCATTTGGAGATACGTGAGTGAATAATGACAGAGGCAACGGCCCTCTTGAGTAGAATTTACAATCTGGTGTATATATTATGTCAGGGTAGGGAGACAATTAAGTAAATATAAGAATAGGATGATTTCTGGTAGTGAATAAGTTCTATACAGGAAATAAGGTAGGAGTATATAATAATGGGGGGTTGGAGGAAGGATCTTGATTTAGATGACTGGTTGGGGAGGACCTCCCAGAAAAGGTGATCTGAGAGCCAAATGGCACAAAGCAACCTACACATGAAAACAATAGTTGGCAAAGTGTCCCAGCCAGAGAAAAAATATGATTCAAGGGCTTTAGAATAAGTTTTGCAGTTTAGGAAACAAAAAGAAATCCAGTGTGGCTAGAATAGAGTGGGCAGGGGAAGCTTAGGAAGGGATTGGAGAAGTGGGTAGTAGCTGGCTTATGTGGCAACTAGTGGGTCCCGTAAGGTGTTTGGATTTTGTTCTAAGTGCAACAGGATGATCTTGGAAGCTGGGGAATGTTACGGTGTGCCTTATGTTTTGAAAAGATTACTTCACTATATGGAAGATGGGTATTAGGAAGCTGTAGTAGACCACGTATCTAGTTGTTGAGATATGTCAACAGTGAAATAATGGTTGCTTGGACTAAGTTGATAGCAGTGGAGTGGGTCAGGGAGCAGAAAAAAAATATACGTTTGGGATATATCATACACATAAAATATAATAGTATAAACATTATAAAAGATTCTTGCCTATTTAGTCTGTCCCTAGTCTCTAAAAATACTGCCTTAGCACACAGTGAACTTTCAAAGAGTATTTGATGGATGAATTGCATGAATGAATGGATCGGATGTGCAAGGGAAAGAGAGGAATCAACGATGAGTTATAAGTTTTCCAGCACATTCAGTCTGTTGTATTACTAAATATAATTGCAACTCTTAGGGATTGGTATCATTTCCTGGGAAAAGGTTTGCTAGTAGGGATTTAATGTCATCATTAAATAACATAACTCTAAATGTGTACACTGTGGATTTCCTATAAGGCAAAATGAAGGATGTTTTACAAGTAATTTTAGATCACACCAGACGATGATCATTGAGATAAGGAAATGAGAGTGCCATCTTAAAAAGGTGAGAGCGTTTATCTGCTCCAAACCTTTGTTTTCTGCTTAGTGAAATAGGTTAACTTCTTCCTTTCTCCTGCCTCACTGCCCCCAGCCCCGCATCCCTTCCCTCCTTCTGCATCTTCCATTTTTATATTTTGTGCTCATTTGTCTCCATCGTGGATCCACGTGGTAGATGGACTCAGCAGTTTATGGAGCCAAGGTTGACATATTTACTGTACTGACAATGTACTGTAGAGTACATTGGATGTGGATCCTTGAATTTAGGCAATTTTCTGGCTGTTTTCCCCTTTTAAATTCGCATTCAACCTCTACCTTGCACAAGTATATTTTAAAAAGAAAAAAACATCTAAGGAAATGCCTTTTTTTGTGTGCTTGCTAATGTTTTTTGTTTTCTTAGGATGTGAGCAGATACAGAAACTTTATGTCCACATTAAATATTTCACCTAATCCTAGGTGCTCATATGAATGGATGAATACATTTTAAAAACAAATGGAATATTTGTTTTAAGAATGTTGAGCTGCTTATCAGATACTTGGACCACGGACTCAACCTAAGATTATTTCTAAAAATCACTGCCATAAGATACAATAATAATAAAAAAGAACAACATTAAAGATTGTGCAATAGACTAGGTTTGTTCTTATCAATAAAAGCAATAATATGGTAGAAGAGTATTGAGTCAGCTTCCTTAATAGAAACATCAAATACCCAGGAGAAGAAAGGTATATGACTCTGGTGGAGAAGACAAATCTAATACAAAAAAGTGAGGGAAATCAAAATGAAACTACTCTCTCTCAGACTTAAAAGAGTACAAGTACTGGCTTTATACTTGGATGCTTTGTCTTGCTCAATCTGATTTCTAATATAATTTATTTTACCGGCCATCTTTTTTTTTTTTTTTTTTGGTTTTAATCCCCTCTTTCCCAGCTAGTATTCTTTGAGCATTCTATTCTCCATTTCTAAGCTCTTCTATCTTTGCTTTACACAGAGCCCAACGTACCATGACCGTGACTCAGTTTCTGCTCCTGATTGGAGCTAGATTATCCCCAGATGCCCAGTACAAATGCCGAGCAGAGAATCTGATTATCCAGCCTGTCTGCTAGGTTGCTGGCCAACTTACGAATTTCCTGGTCTGGTGCCCTACGGCCTTGTGAGAACGGAGTTTGCAATGTAAAACCTGGCCACTTCAGAAACAGAGGCTCTGGGTGGGGATTTTTCCCTTGGAAGACAGAAGAGTGGGAGCAGGGCTCTGAGCCTTGGTCTGTCTGGTCCACGTGGCTATCATCTCAGTGACTGTCTTTTGCTCGATTTGAAGTCTTTCTTCATTGGGCTTTATTCAAAAGACAGTTCATCAAATATATTTATAGTACAGCATAGTGTTTGAGGCTCTGGGTTTTGAGTCATAACCTATGTCTGTCTCCTTGTGGCTTTGGTCAAGGTTTTTAGTGTTCCAACAGTCTCTCCCTTCTATCAGGGCAAATAATACTTTTTTCATAGGGTTGTTTCAAAGATAATGAGGTCATGTTGGTACAGTAGTTAATATGGTACCTTTTACATCCTAAAAACTCGATACTTAATGGCTGTCTCCACCAGCAGCAAGAACAGACGGTGTCTCAAAATTCTACCATGGTAATGTTCTTGATCAGTAATACCCTTATTGTTAAAATGAATTATCCAGATTTGTCTTAGTTACATAATTCAAATTTGTCTGTCAGTATCATTCTAAGTCTTGCTTAGAATTGCTATATTGGAGAGTTGTCAGAATCACTCATTAGAGGAAGCCTGTTAAAGTTTTTGAATCTCTTGGTATCAGGTGTTCTATTAAATAACATTTGCAAAGTCTTAACGGCTACACGTAATGTCGAAATGGCTGTGTAGTTATCTTTTTGTGATAAGTGCCTTCCGTGGTCTTTTCCTTTCTCAAACACTTGGAACATCCCACATAAAGCAGGGAATACTGTTTTCTTCGTAAACCTTCCCAAGTATTTCATGTTTGGGAGCTAACCTTGTCTTCCTTGGGACATCATGTAGACTTTTTCAGTCTCAAACAGGGTTTCTTTCAAATTCTGATATGAAATATGGCCTGTGAATTTCCTTCAGCACTTATGTTCTAAATAGAAAATAAAAACCACATTCTAGAAAGCACAAGGAAATACCAAAAATAAGATAGTGGGGGAGGCAAAGTTGAAAATACTGCATTTAAAGAGATAATCTGCATACAGTGTTCTCGACAGCCAAATTCTGGGCCTACGGGAGCATGCCTGCCCTGTCAGAGGCAGACAATAGGGTGGGTTACATGGGAGGATGGCAAGGGAGCAACACATTCATCTGGCATAATCTTGGAAAAGAGTGAACTTCTAACCATTAGTTAAAATGTTGTTTTGCCTCATTTGCTAAAGTCACCAAGAAAGATCCTATTAAAAATTCAATTTGTTTCTTGAGTCTATCTCTGTATTACATTGACCTAAGTTTAAAGAAAGTTTGTTAGTTGGACCCCTGAGACATTCCGAGCTAACCTAACAGGTGTAAAGGGTCACAGAGAAAGTAGGTGCTGCTTTATGGATGAGTCCCTACTTTTTCATTGTAACTCCAGGCCCTTTCTCTTCCAGTGAGTGCGGCTGGTGTTGCATGACAAATCGGACAGGCTAGTCTTGCTATGTGAAGCATGGTCCATGGGCCAGCAGTTCCAGTATCTCCTAAGAGCTTGTTAATAATTTAGAAGCTCAGAGCCATTCTAGACTGGCTGAGTCAGATTCTGCATTTTAATCGGAGCCCTGGGTTATTGTTTGCCTATTAAGGTTTGAGAAGACTGGTCTAGAAACACATGGGCCTGCACGGTATTGAATTGAACTTCTATTCCTAATTCCATCACTGATTTACATTTTGGAAAGATCACTTACGGTTTTTCAAGAATCTCCATTTCTTCCTCCTCCATAAAATAAAAATAGTGTTCATCTTCCTTGGCAAAGCCTGGGGAGCTAGTTGAGGCAGTTTGTAAAGTGCATTATGTGGTGGAGGGAGTGAAAGTCCTGTTATTTTATGCAAGAAGACTGGGACTCTTGAGAAGAAGGCTAGCAATTGCATTGGAAACCCTTGACTGTCAGACAGAATTCATTTCTTCTGCTGGGGAAGACAAGGGAGGCGGAAATGATGGACTTGGCTTCTCTGTCTAGCGCGTGACAGACCAGCGGTCTTCACTGGGTAATCCTTTTTTTCCTTGCTCCTTCTACAATCTGGTAAAATATGATAAATAACCTAGTGCTTCCTAATATGATATTATAATGTAGAACAGTATTTACATAAAAACATGAAAGGGAGATTTTAAAACATTACTTTATGCAGAAGCCCCATAAAGGCACGGGGTTAACACACCAGCGCTACCCTCTCTGGAGGGTTTGGGAAGACTCTCACCTGTGCTCTGGGGTCAGGTGTAAGTTGTATTTTGCTGTGTGCTTTTGTTGTCCTATGAATTCTGCTTATCATCTGCTTCCATTGTTATTGGATGTTCATTTTGTGGCCCTGTGAAGACCTAAGCACCAGCCGTTAACAGCAGTAAAAATAATACAAAGCTCCTAGTTGAGTCATGGACATGGTTGGATCACAGGAATGTCCCCTGAGTATTTAGCGATATATTGTACATCTCTCAGAGTATGACAGAAAAAAGCCAATAGGGATATTTTCTTGACTCCTAACATCACGATTTATTATTTTATTGTCCTTATGTTTATGGGCAATTCTGGAATCCTGTTATTAGGGGTCAGACGTACGTATAGTTTTTCAGTTTCAGGTTTCCCCTGAGAAGGGATGGATGGCTAGAGGCAAGAACACAGCAAGAACATTTTCCTTTCAGGTTTCTCTCCATTTCCCTAACAGCTTTAACCTTATCTGAGCATACTTGCTCCTTCCCATTATCTCTGGTTTCTAAATGAATTCAGATAGAAAGTGTTTTTTGAACATTATTTGGTCATATTTTAGGTGAATTCTGCATTAACGTTCAGTAATCCCAACAGGTTCACTTTACCTGTGTGTTAATTTCAAAGTTCCACTATTTCTTGGGGGACTGGAAGATCAAGTTGCACATGCAACACACACACACACACACACACACACACGCACACACACCACACATACATACCACACACACACCATACATGCACTACATGCAGATAGATACCACGCACAACACATACCACACACACATACCTCATACTACATACACCCCACACTACACACACACTACACTATACCCACACATAGACATCACACACACATAGACACACACACACATACATTCTCATGATTAATGCCCCCAATTTAAGTCAGGGAAAGGAATGTGTATGGGGGAGAAAGATAATTTCTGATAGTTTTAACAGCTCCATTTTACATTCTTACCAGCAGTGTATAAGGGTTCCAATTTCTCCATATCTTTGCCTACACTTATTACTTTAGCCATCCTGGTTGGTGCAAAGTAGTATCTCATTGTGGTTTTGATTTGTATTTATCTTATGACTAATGATGTTGAGCATCTTTTTATGTTGAGAAAAACTCACTTTTGATATGTGTACACAGTCTGAGCCAAAAAGCCTACTCGTGTTCAAATGCAGTTTTGAATATCTCCTCCTATTTGGAGTCTGCTTTGGTTGAGAGCAAAGGGGTTTACTGACCAATACTTTAAGTTAGTCATAAAGTTAGTTCAACATCTTCGTCCTCTCTTTTATGAAAAAATACTGGGAACACCCGTGGTAGCCTTCTGGCAGTAGATAAGGAAAAATTAATTATTGTGTAAAGATTTCTATTCTTACTAGAGTAAACTGTAAAGTAAGTCAAGTTTGCTTGATTTTGAAGCTCTTAATATTAATATTGTATGCTTTTCTCTCCCCTTTGGAGAGGCCCGTTTTTTTCAGTTCTTCCTAATGCCATACTTTTTAGATAGCTCTCTATCAAGCTTGTTCTCAGGATAAGATGTGATACACATAGACACTAAAAAGTACATGGTGGAATAAGAAATCTGGCTATGCATCTTTATTAAAATTATTTTCAGGGAATGAAGGAATAAAGGACCAAAGTTCTGAGTGGGATATTAAAGTGATATTGAGAGATGAAGATTTTTCTTTGGGTAACCTGTATCATTTGGGGTCCTTTCAGTTGTATGTGACTGAAATCTACGCTGAGAGTAGTTTAACAGAGGCAACATATTGGCTCCCACTAGCTGCAAGGGCTCCAACAGAATCACCAAGATCCATGTTTCAGCTGTATCTTGTAGGTTGGCTCCATTCTTATGATTCTTGGGGTGATCCCTGGAAGCTTCTAGCTCACATCATCAAACGTTTAGGAAAAAAGAGAGCTTGGTTCCCTGATGAGTCTTCCTGGCCCCAGGTGGCCTGACATGAGACATGCTCATCCCTGAATCAATGACCGTAGCCAGCATGGTGGAACTGCCATTAGCTTAGGCCATTTCATGTGGTCCCCTCTGGATCCTGTGTGGTGTCACTTCACTGGAAGCCTTTGGGCTGAGGCTAGCCCAAAGTTGTGGTTAAGTTGTGGTTAAGAAGTGGGGGTGAAAATATGTGGCAGCATGAGGAATGATCATTATTTCCTCAAAGCCACAAAGATCACATGGGGATTCCTTCCCTCAAAGAGCAGTTCTAAGAAGGACATTAAAAACTCATCAGAGGCAATGGTTCTCAAGCTTTAGGTTATGTATTAGTTTGCTAGGGTTTGCTTGTCCCACCACTGTATTTTGGAAGCAGATAACTTGTTTCACAGGTTTACAGATGGAGAGGAATTTTGCCATAGGATGAATCATTCTCTGAGTCTCACCAATACCACATTTAGATGATATTTGGATTAGATTTTGGATCTAGAATTGATGTTGCAATGGGTTAAGACTCTTGGAGTTGTTGGGATGGGGTGAATGAATTTTACATGCGAGAAGGACATGAATTTGGAGGGAGCTAGATAGTGTATTATTATGGGTTCATTTGTGTCCTTCCAACGTTCTCATGTTGAAACCCTAGTTCCGAAGTACGTTAGAATGTGACCTTATTAGAAATGAGGTTGTTGCAGATGCAATTAGTTAAGAGATGTCAGGAAGGTGAGCCCCTAATCCAATACAACTGGTATCCTTTTAAAAGAGGGAAATTTGGACACAGAGACATACAAGGAAAACACCCCATGAAGATTGGAGTTTTGTTGCCACAAACCAAGGAACTACCAAAATCTAGGAGAGAGGCCTGGAACAGATTCTTCCCTAGTGTCTTCAAAGGGAACATAGCCCTGTCCTAACAAAATACCATAAACTGTGAGTGGCTTTGACAACAAAAATTCATTGTCTCACAGTTCTGGAAGTTGGAAGTGTGAGATCAAGTTGTCAGCAGGGCTTGTGTTAGGATCACAGCATCTAATGATCTCAACTTGATTTTAACTGGGTTTATTGTTATTGCTTTTTTTTTTTATTTTAACAGAAGAAACAAAATTATCTGAAGATGATGAAATGGAGAAACTCTACAAGTCGTTAGAACAAGCTAGTCTCTCTCCTCTTGGGGACCGTCGACCTTCAACCAAAAAGGAGTTGAGAAAATCCTTTGTTAAGCGATGTAAGAATCCATCTATAAATGAGAAACTTCACAAAATCCGAACCTTGAATAGCACACTGAAGGTAAAAAAAAATTTCAGATTGTGGATGAACTCTGTGGATGTGGGGCAAGGCTGGTTCTGCAGAGAGATTCATGCTCACCAGTGTGTTTGTGTGGGTGGAGGGAGGGCAGTAAAACCAAATATAATCATCCGCAGGGTCAGATGACCTTTGGCATCCTTAAAGCACTAGCACATTCACACAGTAGCACCCATTGCACTTTCCTGCAATAGGCCTTGATTTTTACATTCACTTTGGTGTAAAAGTTCAAATGCTAAACTCCTAGACCCTTTAACCTAGCGCAGTAGATGATAATGAGGGCTTATGATAGTCAGCTTGTGAGAATAAACAGTAATATTAAATAAGATCTTGGAATTTCACCTGATTCATTAAAGAGTGCCGTTCCTCCTCCTACTACATCCAGAAGAAAATCTCTAGATTTCAGATAGAGCCAGGACTTCGTGACTCTCAGCCCTAGGCTCTGGAGCCAGGAAACACCATGAGAGATGGGCAATGGGAAATGTACAGTAGATTGTAAGGCCAATGGATGTTTTCACAATGGGAATGGGGGACAGGGTATAAAACGTACTGAGGCTATTTTCAGGGCCTCCTGAACTAAAATGGTTCTTCATAACAAAAACATCTTGCTTTCACATGTAGACTGTAGCATGAACAAAAGGGGCCCAGGATACTTTGTAAAATCGTCCCAAATTAGCAGAAGATTTATAGATTCTGAAAAGCCTTGATAGATTCTGCAGTTTAATTTTGATTTGTGTATGTTCTTTTGCATCAAGAAGTTGAGTCTCTTTCCAGGAAAAAATACTAGCAATCAAAGGACAAAGCTACAAAGAAGTGGCTGAGTGACTCTTAGTCAGATGTCCCTGTTAGTCCGTAGAATAGCTAAGCACCCCAAAAGGCTGCAAAAATGAGGCTGAAAAAGAAAAGGCATAGTAGTATTTTAATTATATGAAGAAAACCAAAATGTAAAGAAATTCTCCAATGTTGGATGATGAAAGACATCAGTAGCACTCCTGTAAAAGCCAAATATATTATATTCCATGATATATATGAAGTTGATAAATATGTTTAATCATTCAATGTAATATACCATAGTATGTTGGGATTTTTCTATCTTATTTGTGATAACTGATGTAAGTGAACACATTTTTCATTAGACAAATATTTCCTGAATCTTACTATGTCCCAGACTCTATTTTTGGGCACTGGGAGCATTGAGTGCACCCACCGGATGGTAGAAATAGAGAGGAAAACAGAATGTAATGTGTTGAGAGGTGTAGCTGATACAAGCTTGGGTGCTTTGGTAGCCTGGAGGAGGGATATGGCTGCCTATCTGAGGCCACTGGGGACAAAGTCATGGAAGTGCTGACAACTGGCCCATGAGTAAGAGACGAAGAATATTAGGGTGAGAAGAAAGGACTTTCATGGAGGAGGAACTGGTCTATGATGAATGTATGTCAGGGGAGGATACATTGCAGCCCATGTTGGGAGAAACAAGGAACAGGCTAAGGAGAGAGGATGGGCAGTTCAGGCCATTTCTAGAAGGAGAGACTACGGCTTTAGCTTTCCACAGAATAGCAACTCAAGACTCTAGACTGTCACAAGACCATGCCGTGACCTGGCCACTGGGAGGCCAGGTTTGTACAAAGAATTTTGGTTCTCTGTGACCTCCTGTTCTCCGTGCACTATGGCCATGGAATTTATGAATTCAGCAGCCTTTTGTTTTTCTCCCCATGTATTAGTTATCTTTTGTGAGGTAACAAAATACCCCCAAAGTTAGCAACTACAAACAATGAACACTTGTTAGTTCACTGTTTCTGTGGGTCAGGAATCTCTCAATGTGGTTTGGCTGGATGCTTCTCCAGGTCTCCCACAGGCTGCAATCCTGGCATCAGCTGGGCCCGCATTCATTCCTCTACTGGGGAAGGTGTGCTTCCAGGCTCTGTCATTGACTGGTTGGCAGGATTCAGTTCCTTGCAGGTTGTTGGACTGAGGTCCCAGTTTTTCTCCCAGTTCCTTGCCCTGTGGATATATGGTAGCTTCTCCGATGGAAGTTGGCTTTCCTCAGAGTGAGTAAAACAGCAACAGGGAGTGAACAAGGTGGATCAGACCTGTCTCAGCAGCAACACCACATTACAATTACAGTGTTCTGTGCATTAGGAGCAAGACACTGGGTCAGCCCACGTTCAAGGAGGGGAATTACATAAAGGCGGGAATGCTGGGGAGCAGGGAGCATCAGGGGCCATTTGGGGCCTGTTGACCACACCCATCTGAAGATCTGCTGTCTCTGTGCATTCCTGGAAAGAAGCCCTCTCCACAGATCCCTTAGAACTCAACAAAAGTGTAATGCTGGACCTGGTGAAACATAATCCATGTTATGTGGTCCTATGAACCTCATCGCAAGGTAGGAAGACACACTGATGTGGAAATTGGCCTTCTTGGAGAGAAAAAGCACATCAGCCTATTCATTGGAGAAAGATAATTTGGTACATGTTTGTTTATTCATGTCAAAAGGCTGTAAGAATTATTTTAACTATCTGAAATAGAATCAAATTTGATAATAATTATCTTTAAAATTCAGAGTAGTCAGGATAGTGGTTGCCTTTGAGGAGGAGGGAAGAGATTCCTGGGAGGGGCCACAGTACAGCTTCTGAGATGCTGGGTCGGAGTCCCCTCTAACCTCAGTGGAGTTACACAGGTGTGTCCATCTCATTGTAATTCATCAAGCACAAACCGTTTTATATGTGTGTTTTTGTCTACGTATATACGTTGTGATATGTTTATTTAAAGAAATCAAAACTGCAGTGCTAACAAAGAAAGACAACATAGTTTCATGCAGAGACAATGAAACTGTTTTAACAATAATGTTTATATTCGTGATAGGCACATTTCATAAAGAAAGAAAAATCCCTACCCTGGGATTGTATTGCAACAGATTCTCTTTATGGAAATTCTAGGAAGTCGAGCAAACCATCATGTCATACCCTAAATGTAGATTTTTTGGAATCCATTGACTTTTGGTTAAGCCTGTCTTTTTAAAAAAATGAATAATTAGGGGCACCTGGGTGGCTCATTTGGTTAAGCGTCTGCCTTCAGCTCAGGTCATGGTCCCAGCATCCTGGGATAGAGCCCCAGTCAGACTCCTTGCTCAACGGAGAGCCTGCTTCTCCCTCTCCTGCTCCCCCTGCTTGTGCGTGCTCTCTCTCTCTGTCAAATAAATAGATAAAATCTTTAAAAAATAATAAAATGAATAATTAATGGATCCAACTGAAACTTGCTCTCAGGGTTATTCTGGTCTGTGTTAAAAGAGGAACGAACCCTCCTTCCCCCAACTTCTGTGGCAGAACACATTTTTGAGTCAAGTCATGTATTATTTGGAGTGAAAAAGGAAAGTAGAGCATTGTCTCTCTCATGGTATTTTCTGGAGGCCCTGCCAAACTTTGCCTAACAGAAGGCAAGGAGGATGTTGTAAATGTAGTTCAAAGCATCCGGTGAGCCTCCTGTGCCACAAGGGAGAGGCAGGGCCCGTGCGCCATGCTGCTGACTGGGGTGCTGCGCTGGTTAGCACTACAGATCCTTCTGTTGTTTCATTAATTTCCTTCCTCTCTAGTCTTCTCTATAGTTATTTCTTTTATCCATAAAACACAGGCTTGAGCTAAATGGTAAGAAATTTGAATTGTTTAGAGCTGAAAACCATATGAAAAGTGTTAGCCCAAAGTTGAAGAGAACTTTTCCTAAAATCTTTGATCAGATTTAGAGGGGTGGTTAATTCATGTTGCCTTAAGAAAATCGGTTCTTTAAATTTTGTTTATCTGCAAAGATCTTATTTAATACTTTCAATAAAATATTAGGATCTCTCTCTGAAGCAGATGTCAAAAATTTTTTTGTGTGGAATAAATTACAGTTTTTAATAATTTTTAAAAAATATTTTATTTATTTATTTGAAAGAGAGTAGAAAGCACAAGGGGGGCAGGGGGAGAGAGGCAGAGGGGGCGGGAGAAGCAGGCTTCTTGCTGAGCAGGGAATGTGATGTGGGGCTCCATCCCAGGACCCTGAGATCATGACCTGAGCTGAAGCCAGTTGCTTAATTACTGAGCCACCCAGGCGCCCCATCATATATTCATTTTTTTCCAACAAATATTTAGTGAATGTTAGCGTAGCACGTGGGGATAATAGCAGTGGGCATGTCAGACAAAAATGCTTGCTGTTAAGAAGCTTACATTTAGGTACAAGAAGAAATTTAACTAACTAACTAACTAACTAACTAACTAAATTTTATAGTATGCTAAGTGATGATGGATTTGATAGGGAATGGAAGGAGGGTGAGGAATGCTGATGGATTGATTTTTAACTAGGAGAGGCATGAAGAGGCTCTTTGAAAGGTAGAATTTGAGTAAAATCTGAGAAAGGAAGGGAAGTGAGTCTTGAGGTGATCCAAGGCAGAATGTTACAGGCAGAAAGAACAAAATTGCAAGTGCCTTGGGGTGGGAATATGCCTAGTAGGCTTAAGGAAGAGCAAGGAGGGCGTGTGGCTGGAGTGTTGCAGGAGAATGGGGCATGGGGAGACTAGCAGTGGGTCAGAGGGCAATGAGAGATTATAACATAAGGTGCCTTATTGCCATTGCTAATACTTTAGCTTCTACCCAGTGAGATAGGAAGCCTTTGGAAGGTTCTGAACAGAAGTGTGCCATAGTTTGACATATTTTGAAGGTAGAACTTGGGATTTGCTGGTGGATTGGCAGTGAGAGCAGGACGTGTTTGGCCTGAGCTGCTGGAAAGGTAGAGTTGCCATTAGGTGCTTTGCAAAAGGCCATGATAGGAACGGGTTTCAGTGTGTACTAGAATTTGTAGTGGGTGAGGCATGTAGAGAATAATAGGAACTTAGTTTTGAAGATTTTTATTTATCTGAGAGGGAGAAAGAGACAGGGCCTGTGCCTGTGTGGGGGCGTGGGGCAGATGGGGAGGGAGAGCTAGAGAGAATCTGGAGCAGACAAACCCTGCACTGAGCAGGGAGCCCCACGCAGAGCTTGATCCCACGACCCTGAGATCATGACCTGAGCCAAAACCAAGAGTCGGTCGCTTAACTGACTGAGCCATCCAGGTGCCCCCAATAGGAGCTTAGTTTTGGGCATGTTATATTGAGATTCCTAGTATGTGTCCAGGTGGAGCTGCTAAAGAGGAAGTTTAGACAAACAAGTATGAAGTTCAGGGGAGAGATAAGGCTTGCAACATAAATTTGTGACCCATAGTATATAGGGAGATTGGGAGACATGAGATTACATGAAATTAGCAAGAACATGGATATACATAGAAGAGAGAAGAGGCTAAAGGCTGGGTTCTGGAGATCTCCAATGTTAAGCGATTGGGCCAGAATGAGGAATCAACAGGGGAGATTAAGAATAAGTGGCCATTCTAGGATGAGAAAAATCAAGCAAATGTGCCACAGAAATGACATGATGAAAGTGTTCAAGAAGGAGTAGTCAACAGTTTTAGATGCTGTTGATAAATAAGTTGAAGACAAATAGTTATTGGATTCAGCAACGTGGAGGTCATCGATGGCCTTAACAAGAGCAGTTTTGGTTGAATCTTGATGGGAGTGGGTCTATGAGAGAATGGGCATGGTGGGAGGGTGGGGAGGAACATTGGAGACAAGGAGAAAAGTGGAGCATTCCCTGGAGCAGAGATTTGGGCTTTAGAGAGGGCTTTGAAGATGGGAGAGGTGACAGCACATATAATGATCACATGGAGATGGGACATAAATGAATCACAGGAAAGAGGGGACTATTGCAGGAGTGAATTTCTTGAGTATGAGAGAATGGGTGATAATGCACAAATGGAGAGATTGTCCTTTGCTGGAAGCACAGACATTTCATCCAAAAGAACAGGAAGGAAGGCTGGGATATACCTGTGTTGATGTAGGTAGGGGGCAATAAGAACTTGGGAGAAGTGTTCTTCTGATTGTTTCCATTTCCTCAAAAAAAAAAAAAATTAGCAAGCTCATCAGCTCTAAGGGAGGATGGGGGCAGAGGTTTGAGTAGAGATGAAAAATTTTGAAATAGTAATTTGGGAGATTGGGAGAGAAAAGAGGTGGGAAAATATGACTACTGGGTGGTAGCAAAGGCCACTTAATGGCAGTGGTCATGAATTTGGACTGCAACCAGTGAGCCTGGTTGTGAAATTTTAGCTACACACATGCTGGCCTGGGGATAGACTGAAAGATTGGTCCAATAGTAAACATGTAATGAATGTCTCCCTGGCACGCAGCCTTGTGTTCGGTGCAAGGAATACAGGGATGAATAAAAAGCTTTTTGTTACCTTCCTTAAGAAGCTTTAGAATAGGGGGCATGACAGATCCATGAACATTGAAGTATAACATGGTAAGTTTTCAGCATTGGAAGGCATGAGAGCATAAAAAAAGCTTCTCAGTCCAGTTGAGGGGTTCAGAGATTTTCTGGAGAACATGATGCCTGAAATGAGTATAGATTTATGGGGTATAGTAAAATCCGGTAAAGAAAGATTGGCAAATGTTCCATGTGAAAGTAACACTAGGAGGTAGAGTTCACCAGAAAAAGATAGGGAAGGGCTTCCATGTGGCACAGTATCACAGAGTATGAACTAATATTATGTAGGGGGAAATGCACACCCCCGTTTGAGCAGGAAGTGAGAAGGAAGTGGGGGTCAGCGGGTGGAGCTCAAGTCCATACAACCTCGGACATGAAGGGGAGCCATTATGAGGACTTGGCATTTTAGGTGATGCCCTGCACTGCCTTGCGGAGGGCGGATTTAAAGTGAGGATTGGAGGCAGGGACACATCAAGTGTGATGAACTGCACTTCATACCCCAAGTTAGGATTGCGGTCAGCGGGATGGAGGAAACAATAGATTTGAGAGAAAATTGTCAGGACTGAATGATCTTTTTTGAATGTGGAGGCTGTTACACCTCATTTTTAGCCCATTCCTTGCCTACAGAACATTCCCCTAACCTGAGCCAGACATTTCAGAAATGTGTGTTATTGGTTACGGAGGACTCAGGGTAAAATAATATGAATACAACTGTTTGCTCTATTAGCATCATTGGAACACATACTGTTTTGATGGAAGGTTAGTAGTCTTTGAATAAAAAGATAGCCTGTATATTTATTTGGTGTATGTTAATTAAATACATGTGTGTGAGTTATTAAAAAGAGGACAATTTAATAAAATAAAAATATATTTTGTATTATCTGATGTCTTAGGGAGAGTACTATGTCTCAGTTTTACTTAGTGAAGTTTGGGTGGTAATGAAATGATGGTACAATTATAAGTTTCAGAAATAATAAGGCTCACCCTGAGATAGAAATATTACTGAGGTGTGGAATAAGGATTGATCAGGGAAGAGCCACATGGAAGAACCTGGCTATATGTCTAGTTCTTCCATCAGCCTTTGCGTAGGATACTTACCTTCTATTTGGCAAATATATGCAAATGGTTGTCCTGCCATATCTCTTAGACTTGGTTAGGGATTAGAATATTAGTGTGTAAAAACACTTTGCTAATTTTATGATGAATGTATATGTGTATTCATAAAAGCGCTGAAGAGGGTTTATTGAAATTAAGGTACTCACTATAGCTCACCCCCTTACCCCGCCTTTTTTTTTTTTCCTACTGGGGCAGTGTAAAGAACACGACCTGGCCATGATTAACCAGTTGCTGGATGATCCGAAGCTGACAGCCAGGAAATACAGGGAGTGGAAGGTGATGAACACCCTACTGATCCAGGATATCTATCAGCAGCAGCGGGCCCCCACGTCCGCCCATGAAGGCACCCCCGAGGGACTCGAGAAACCACCTTCCTCTGCCTGTGTTGAAAATTCTATTTGAGAACAAGCCAGCCTTCTCTCCCCTGATCTCTTACCCCAAGTGACTCTTCAAGAGGTTGCAAGAGCTTTCCTTCAAAGGAAAACTGAAACCAGTTCCTTAAGCATTGCCTCTTTCTCTAAAGATGCAACTGAGGTGAGGACCCACTCTGATGGCAGCAGGATTCCTCATTCTGGTTGGAGTGCTTTCATTGAGACTCGAGGAATTGAATTCAGTTGAACAAACATCGTGTTCCTACTCGGAGCTCTTGGTTATGCTAGGCTTTAAGTGGGATGTGAGAAGTGTATGTTCCTTGCTCTCAAGAGAACCATGGTCTTCTACGGACAAAGATCACATTTTCCCAGGGATAATTATTCATAGAAATGTTCTGTTTTCCAAAAGAAGAATGTACATATTCCGCTGGGTTGGGTAGTTGAATTCTTCAAATCATTTCTTGGAGTGGAGGAACACGTTTTACAGCAGAAACTGGAATGGGACACATGTGGTTTTGTGGAACCCAAATCTCTTGCCTTTGGTCTGGAATGGTGGTGCCTTTTCCACGAGCTGAGAAATACTTCATGGTGATTGGTGTGTGGGAGAGCCCAAGGGGGAGGCATGTTCTATTGAACACCCTCTCAAAGGACAGCTTGATGTTTCCACACTTGACCCAGGGGCAGGGAGGTGAGGGATCTGATTAAAGTTTCCTTTCCACACGACAGCTAAAGAAATCTATCTTATTACTCGAAGAGACCTCTATTCCCTCCTAGCTTTTCTAAACCACTGCAGGAGATAGAAATAAGTCCAGCAAGGAATGTTTGCTGCTTTGTCCCTGGGAGTGGTGCCTATACACAGTGTCAACTTACATCCTGTCTCCCCGGGATCAAGATTGATGTCTGAGTGGGTTTGGTATCTTTACTCCAAAAAAACCCAACAAAAACAACAAAAGAGTTAAAATATGATTGTTTTATTTTTGTATGTTTGTGTCACTTTGTGTCCTATGTGAAGAGCTATCTATAATATGTTTGTTATTTAAGTATATTTATAGAAGTTCAAATTACTGGCGTTTTCAAAGATGGTAAAGTAATTATGTTTTGCTCAATATATATTCTTCAAGTATATACTTTTTTGCTTGAGAAAATAGGAGTACTGTTGATTTGCTGGAGTTATGTTGCACTATAATGTATGAGGAATGCTCAGGGTATCTTGTGGGATAAATGTGGAGGCATGCATTATTAATTGTTCACTTCCTGGCTTCTCTTTTTCTTTCTCCCTCTCTCTTTCTCTGCCTCTTTCCCAACCCAGAGGGCTCAGAATTCTGTCACTCTCTTAACCAGAAAAGGACTTTCACCTTAGGTTATTTCTTCTAGTAAATAAACTTTTTAAGCTTTCTGCCATTTATGCCCACAAACCCTAAACCAAATGAAACACAACTAATATAGTCTTTTGTCTAAGGTCTGATAGAAATTTTGGGGTCTGCTGTTAAAGAGAACTCATTTTATTAGAGACATAATATGAAAATCTTCCTGTTTTAATCACCATGAATATTTTTCATCCTACGAATAACCACAACCCACCAAAAACCCATTTTGCCCTTACCCCTAGCTAATTGTCAGCCCAATATGGTGTTTCAGAGAGTTAACATGTGGCCTGACATTCAAATGGAAATAACCCTCTGAATTTTATTTGCAGACCAAATGGAAAGAGTCCTTGAAGGTTTCCCCAAGCTTTACTCAGAAGTGTTAATACTTTGTAAACAAAAACAACCTCAGTGTTAAGAAAGAAAAACAACAGGAAACAAGTCAGAGTACTAGAAGCTTATGTAAAATAAGAGGGCATGCCTAGCCGATCTTTAGCAGCACCTGCTCCTAGTGTGATGTGCTGGGGGAAGGACACAGGCTACAGAGGAGCTTGGCGGGGTGGTGGCGGCGGCCGGGGGGCGGGGGGGGGGGGGTGGTGGTGGTGGTCCTGGCTTGTGGTGAATTTACTGTTGGCTCCGGCGGTCTGGAGAGAAGTAACCATGTAGGACCTCAGATGAGACCCTGAAATTCCTGTTTTGAGAGGCTAGTGCTTTCATCTCTTTTCTCTGGGAGTTATTATTTCTACAGTTAGCAGCTGTTAGAAGGTTCATTGTTTAGGAGTCACAATGTAAAGAAAATGTTGAGGGAAGGAGAAGTGCTAATGGGCAGAGTTCTCTTCCACCTTCTTTCCCTTGGCTGGAGATACCAACCTAGAAACTTCAAAACAGTCTTTTTAAGTTAAAGGGCACGGAAGCTTTTAGCCAGGCTTGGGAACACATGTCAGTGCTTTGCTTTGGCTTCTCATTAAGGCACACATAACTGACCATTGAGTGTAAATTCCTTTAGGAGAGCTCAAAATTAAAGGCAAAATGGGTCCATGAGATTACTGAATTGAGCCTTTCAGTTATTTTTCAAAGTTGTCAGTCTAGAAGGCCTGCTTCTGTGAAAACACTTATTCCGCAGAACCTCCCAGAGGAAAGTCAGACCTAACTGCCCAGTCTTGCACCCCCTCTTCTAGACCAAGCTCGCCTGCTTGTCAGGGTTTTCCGCTCTGTAAACGCTTTCCCTCTGCATTACCTTGTGTTAGCAAGCAGGGGCTCCCAGTTTCAGCTGTGCCCACTGAGAGGAAGTGGGGGTGGGGGGCAGTAGGAAATGATAGGCAGAGTGGGTGACACTTTCCATTCTACCCAATTTAGGAATAACCCTGCCATTTTTCTGGTGCAAAGGATATCGGGGAAACTGGATTACTTCCAGTTTATTCCTGGGAATGGGGGCATCTCTGAAATGGATTTCGGGTAGTTTCATGGGGTCTAAGGGGTGATTCTTTTACCCACTCCTGTAGACATAGGGTCTGAGGGCTGTGGAATGACCCAGAACCATGGCTGCTCAGGAAGCAGAGGATCTGAGCATAATCGGGTCCAACCCTCTGGCACCGGCTGTGGATTAGGGTCCGGCTGGGACTCGTCTTTCGGGTTGCAGGGAGGACCCCTTCTCTCTGTGGTTGGCCTGTAGACCCAGACTAGTGCCTGATAGGATACTTCCGTGGCTGGCACATTGCGGCACACGCCGAAACGAACGGTCCCACACTTGATAGGCATATACTGCTTTTAATAATTCTTAGTTCTGGCACAATCTTAGTGTAGCATCAAAGACCCAGGAAGAATCATAACGTATACTACTGCAAAGACTCCAGGAAGCCTAAGAAAGATTGTGTTTGCAGTCAGATTTCAATGTGAAACCCAAGCCTTACATTTATGTAGCTCTTTGTAGTTTGCAGGTCTGTGTGTTCAGGCTCCCCCTTGCGCGGTCGCTGTTGGGCCCCAGCCCTGGGATGTGTGGTGTGTGTGCATTGCACCGGACCGGGCACACCTGTGGGGTTTTTTGTGAAGTCAGCCACTGGAAACCTGAGGGGGCCTCTTCTTTTCCTCAGGGCTGAAGAGTCACTGTCCCTCCTGTGGCCCTTGGCTGCTGCGTTGACTGGATTGCGGTGTGACCTAGTCACTCTGCTTCCTTTCCTTCCTTCTGGAAATTACACTGCTTGTTTTAGGTGCTGTGAAATCCTAGGAGGAAAGAGGCAGTTAAAGAAATGGAATTCATTTATTTTCTTTTAAAAGCATGTCAGGAGATGTCAGAGAGCCTAGGGCCTAGGAGTTAGGCCCTCCCCCTTCCTCTCCCAATTTCTTCTCCTGTAATTATGTAGCTTCCTCAGATAGACTTAAAATGACAAACAATATCATAGAATTGAAACAGATAAAAAGAAAATACACTTTAAGTCTTTTGAGGAGAGGTACTAGACAAATTCCAGCCATGTGTAAATTTATGGACACACACCTCTTTCAAGATACTCTCCTTGAAAGGTCATATTTTGATATATAGCCTCACGGAAGATTTAAGTGAGGAATGTAGGTACAGAGGGTGCCTATCCCAAACAAGCCAATATAATAAAAATAATAACTTTTGGTTAGTTTTAGAAGACCTCTCTTCTTCAGTCTAATAAAATAAGGTATTTGAGATTTCCCAGTTTATTTTCCTTCCTATTTTTTTGTGTGCTTACCTCACAAGAGAAATCGAGTCCTAGAAATGTCAGGTGACTGCCCCGCTAGGGTTTTGTAATGTGTAATTAAAAAGGAAAGCCCCTGAAACTAGATTGTAACATTCCATATGAAATGAGTGAAGGCGGAGGAATAATTCTAACCTTCACAGAAACCACCTCTCTCTGTGAGCAAGATGCCGAACAGCTCCGTGTTTTTCTACATTGTGAGACAGGAAGCAATTTCCTTGCTTCCTCTGCACATTTTTCCTCTTCCCCATACTACCGCAGGCCACAGAAAACATGAAAAATGGTTCTACATTTCAAAATGCTCTTCCATATCTCTTCCCGTGAGACTTAATGCCTCTATACTGATATTTCTTCATGTTGAGTCCAAAGGGGAAGCATGCTCCGTGGAGACATTTAGCATCCCGTAATAAACACCAGGAGTTGTAATCACCATAGACTTTCATGTCCTTGCATGATGGGGATGTGACTTAGCACTGCATGGTGTTTGGGGCAAGATGACAATGTGGAAATTCTCTCTTCAATCTCATTGTGCTTTCATTCTCTGTCACCTATTCCTCTTTGAACTGGAAAAAGAGGCATGGCTCATTTCTTCTGCTTTATGTTTTTTAGATTGACTTGTAAGATACAAATAAAAACAGGAGAAAATATATCTAGTAAAATGACATGAAAAAAATGGAAATCTACTACTGGTATTGTTTTCTGCCCCGCTGTGTTGCTTCTTCCAAGAACAAACTCGCTGGGAAGGGGTTGATGGCTGGGCTTTTAGCTTCTACAAAGGTTGTGGTGCCCTCTGGTGGCCATCATAAGAATAACTGACTTCAATGATTTTATTTTTAGCTGCAGCCTTTAATTATGTTGGGAAATCTCTCTCAATGAATAACTGATGTGCTCTTCTCCAGTGGTCCTCAGCTTACAGGCTGAAAAGTATAGCTTTTTCCAAAATTGTTGGTCCCCAAAATTTGACTTGCACGTTGCATACCCCTTATCATTATGAGGCACCCACGTTTTGTTTAGAGAATTTAAAAAAATTTGCAGATCATAAAAATTAAGACCTGTGGCACATATGTTTCTTAAAATGTATAAGCTGTTTCTGTGTGAAAAATGAACAGAGAAAATATTGAAAGAGCATAATAAATTGCTTTATTTTGGACCACTGATGGGAGGAAGTTAGACTGCTTTTTTTTTTTTTTTTTTTTTTTTTTAAGAGAGAGACACAAGGAGAAAGGGAACACAAGCAGGGGGAGTGGGAGAGGGAGAAGCAGGCTTCCCGCTGAGCTGGGAGCCCGATGTGGGGCTCAATCCCAGGACCCTGGGATCATGACCTGAGCCCAAGGCAGACGCTTAAGGACTGAGCCCCCCGGGGTGCCTCAGCGTGCATTTGAAGCTGATTCACAAATCCTTGATTGCTGTCTACAAAAACAAATAAGGGATTTTTTTTTTCTCTCTCTTTCAGTTATCACTTCACATGTTGAGCCCTCCCCTCTTTTTTCCCTCCACCCAGCCACCACCTGTTTTGTCTGGGCTCCCACACAGAAGCAGGAAACATTATTCTAGACCAAAAGGATCAGCAAAAGGCATAGGTACATTGTGTTCCTGATTTCTAAACAGCCATTAGTTTTCTATTGCTGCTGTAACAAGTTACTACAAATTTAGCAGCTTCAAAGAATGTGTTTTCTTATAGTTCTGGAGGTCGGAAGTCTGACAATGTCTTGGGCTAAAATCAAGGTGTTGGCAGGATTATGTTCCTTCTGGAGGCTCCAGGAGAGAATACATTTCCTTCCCTCTCCAGGTCACCCATATTCTTTGCTTCTTGGCTCCCTCCTCCATCTGCAAAATCGGCAATATTGTATCTCTGTGTACCCTTCTTTCTAGCCACACCTTCTTTCAAGGACTCTGGTTATTACCTTGGGCCCATTTGATTAATCCAGGACACTCTCTCTGTTTTTATGTCAGCTAATTAGCAGCCTGACTTCAATCTGCAACCTTAATTCCCCCTTGCCCTTAATGGCCCTTTGTGGCATATACACAGTTTCCAGTGATTAGGAGATGGACAGTGTTCTGCCTAGTGCAAACCCCCATTTCAAATATCTTACGTCATCCCCCCGAACCATCAATTTCTCCCAGAAATTCTAGGATTTCCAAGTTTTAACCCCAAGCGTGAAGGTTCTTTGTCTTACTCTGTGACCTGAATTTGATTTCATCAAAATATGTTCACCATAAGAAAGGTAATTACATCTTCAGAAAATGAAGTCTTAGCACATGTACACAGGTGTAACAGGTATATTATTTTAATAATCAGATCAGGTTTTAATAATCC